TGATTCTCCTCTTTGTACGTTAAAGTATGTATTTCAGGCAGTTCGGTAGTTAGGTTTGGGGAGGAGAGCTCTACTCTGCAGGGGCATCACAAGGTGGGAGCAGATTTGGGGGGCTGCTCTGTTCTGGGGCTGGGGGAGATGTATGGGTCGGCATCATATACCAGTGGTCGCAGATAAAGGGCAAGGGGTCCACAAAGGCATGCTTTGGGAGGGCATTGGGGGGTGTCTGTTCCAAGCTGGGGCTGAGGAGTGTCTGTAATTAGACGGCCCTTTTTGGTGGAGGCAAAGAAGGGACAGGGAGAGGGAGAGAGGGGGATAAACTTTCTTTCTTGTTTTTTTTTTGGAAACCGGACGAGAAGCCGTACAACTGACAGGGCGGAAAGCCCGTTGCGGAATTTGGCGGGAGATGACGTTGGCTGGGAGAAACTTTCTTTCATTTCCTGAAGTCTTTTGAAATCTGCTTCTATTCTTCTGTGAATCATTAGCATCTTCGACATCATGCAGAAATTGCGTACCAGACTCCAGCGGCGTTATTTGCTTATCCAATGCTGCACAAAGGTGCAATGACTAGGGTTCCTGGTTGACTGATGCCAGAACCACGCTGGCCGGTGCTGGGGCAGTGAACTAAGAACATGTCAATGATCAGACCCAAGCGTCAACAGGCACGTGTTGAGCCGTTATCAAGTAACAGTGTAGCAACTGAGGTGGCTACAGCAGCAACAACAGCACCAGTAGCTGCTCCCTCATCTGTACCAGCAGCAGCAGTTGATGAAGCCACAGCAGCAATAACATCAACAACAATCTCAGACTGCAGCTGCAAGCTGCAGCAGCAGTGGTCATAACCCTTGCAGCAAGAGCGAGCGGCGACCTGTGGCAGTCAGAAGCTGTAGTAGCAGTAACAGTTTAACCAGCTACTACCATACAAAAACAGGTAGCAAGGAGCTGCATCATCAATTTAACAGCTGTGTTCATTGGTAGGAAAGCTGCCGCAGTAACTGCCTGCAGCTGCAGTGTTTCAGCAGCTGTGGCAATCAGCAGACAGGGTTGCTGCACATAGCACATAGTAGCAGCTGGTAGCACCAGTTACTGCATCAATAATTCATGCAGCCATAGTAGCAGTAGTTAGAGCTAATAGCCTTTACTATCAACTAACAACTGCCGGTAGAAGTGGCAGTAGGACTTGTCTGGGGCAGCGGGCTGCTGCAGCCCATGCTGCTGCAATGAATTGCAGCAGCATTTCAGTGGGCTGTATACTACGTAGGGTTAGGTTCGTAATTTCAGGATTTCTGGGACTTCGGCTGTGTCAATTTCAGTTGGATCCCGTGAGGGTCAGGCCTACGGTAGCAATCCTACCGGACCGTGTCTTTTTGTAGGCCGTGTGATGCATAGTCGTGTCAGACCGAGTGATGCAATGGAGCCAAGGACCAGCAAAGTGATGATAAGGACTGAGACTCACAACGCATGAACAAGAAAGCAATGTATGAACATACAATCACGAAATAAGGCAATGTAGCACAGTGGAAGACTCAAAATCACGACCTGACTCACTGGACTGAGGGCCGACTCATCCCATCATCAGACACACACCTGTGAGAGGAGAGGATGGACAACAAACAGAAAGAAAGGTCCCTCCTTGCACACACATGGGGAGTGTACCACAGACGAAGGGAAGAAGGAGGAGCAATAAGAAGATGGAGGCGGCGTCTTCTCCTGGAATCTCGAATCAGATCCTGGGCACCATAGCCCGAAATAGCCTCTGCCTGTAACCTCTCTCTCTCTCTCTCTCTCTCTCTCTCTCTCTCTCTCTCTCTCTCTCTCTCTCTCTCTCTCTCTCTCTCTCAAAGAATATTAGAAGACGACAATGAAGAAGAAGAAGAAGATCAATCTCCTCTCTCTCTCCCTCTCACCTGATGAAGTGCTGCAGCCATGAACTAACCGGCAAAGGTGCTGTCTCTCTGGTGCAGGCCGCTGGCGAGGGACCCAGCTATGGTGCCCAGGTGAGTACTCTACACCCCGCGGCTATGGGTGCCACTCTCCACTCTTCCCCTCTCTACTCCTACGCCTCTACCTCTACCTAGCGCAGCGCATGGAACACTGGCGCTGCTCCAGCAGAGTGACACCCACTGAATGGGAACTCCTGGATGTCCAGCAACTGGACTGGCCCACCTAGATATAGTGCTGTGCCTGGCTGGTGTGGCCGTGGTCTGCAACCAGGGCCGTGCGATCGTAACTCCGGTCGACCGTCCTGGTTGCAGGCCCAAGTCCTGGAACTGCACATCAGGACAAAATACTGGCCTGCCTGGGTCCGTATCGGGCATCCAGGCCCTCCTGCTGATGCAGCAGGGGAGTGCTGCTAGCGGACGAACCAGAACCTGGCCTCCCTCGGCCAAAACGTGGTCCTCAGGTCCGAACAGACACAGGCCTGTTCGGACTCTGAGGAAAGTCCGAAACGACACAACTGGAACAGACAAAAATAGACCAGCCGAAAGACTCAGTCACTCAGCAAAACCAAATAAAAGAAAAACAAATAAATAAATGAATGCTGAATCTGAGAAATAGGAACATGCGTGGAGCAAGATGCGTGCCTGGCCTGGAAATGGCCGTGGGCCTCCAGGTCGTGCAGCCCCAAGATGGCCATGTGGCCTGGGGGCCCTCAGCAACCATTTGGTCCCCACAAAGGGGCTTGTGAGCAGGCCTCAGCATTCTACACCGTAGGTGTTAGGTCCTAGGTGGAGACCTAGAAGTAGGGAAGTCACGATTTCGGCCGGGTTCTTTCTTGACTTTTTCACGTTGGTTTCGTCGGAGGTCACGTCCGGCCTGCTGGCGGCCATAGCTGGGGCCTGCCACCTCTTTTGGTTGCAGCGCTGGATTATAGACCCGAAGTTCTACTGGACGGTTACCTTCTTTTGGTGCTCTGTTGGGGCTATGTCAGCTACCAGCGAAGAAGCTCCTCTTCCATTGGATAGTCAACGACTACAAAACCCCATCGTAGTCACTATGCATGGCGGACAGTATTCCACTATCCATCTCAAGAAGATCTGCTCCCTAACAGAAGCTGACCTCCCCTTCCTCCAGTGCGTCAGCCTGCCAGTGTGATGGATGTGCATACAAAGCAAGCACTATCCCTTTCATAGCCATAAACACCCACCCGTTTGCATCATGCTGACATGCCCCTCCGCCACTGCCCACCAGCAGTGCTAGCCCAGCAAACAGCGCCTAGCCCCCCCAGCAGCGCCGGCCCCGCCAGCAGCGCAAGCCCCGCCAGCAGCACCTAGCCCCCGCCAGCAGCGCAAGCCCCGCCAGCAGCACCTACCCCCGCCAGCAGCTGGAAATTTGTTATAATCTCATCTCACCAAATAATGATAAGTAAGCACTCTTGACGGAATCCATGCCTCTGAAAAAGACATTTGCAATCTGAACGCAAATTGCAAACTTGGATAACACCAAATAAGTACGAGAAAAGCATTGAAGTCACATAATAATGAAAGCTCCCTTCTGTCCAGTCACCAATGCCAGCAATGTAGCTCACCTATATTGGCGCTCGGCGCCCAGACAACAGACAGACAGCTCCTGTGACGTGGACTCCTGTCTACAACAGGTCAGCATTGAGAACATCAGCCTGAGGAATGCATGGTCTCCGAGTGAACAGCTCGTTTTGTCTTCAGCAGGTGAGTGCCTCAGTTACACCGCTCTTCCCCTGTCTCCCCTCACAGGCCCTTATGCCCAAGGACCACCACTCTCCCCCACTGGCTAGGCGCCCCATCAGCCCGGCTATGGCTCCTTGTAGCTGCCCTGCTGCCTGACATCACAGATCCCACACGCTCCGCCAGTGCCCTCTTCCCTCTGCCCCGGCTATCATTCGACGAGCAAGCACTCCAGCAGCGCTCCTGCATCCAGTCAGCCAGAATGTAAGGAATGAGCCCAGGCTATTCCTTTGATGTTGGCTGGCTGCACGCGACCCGGCTGGACTGGGTGCTCTCAGTCCCAGTTGCTGTGCCCAGGGCCCCTTCCATAATCTGCTCGGGGCTCAACTGTAAGTGCCCTCGGCCTCAGCATCTGCAACCAACAGGGTGTTTGGCCCTACCGGTTGGTTGGAGATGCTGCGTGCAGCAACCAACCCACAAGTGCCCCATTCCTGCTCACATCGGCCTGTTCTCAGGTCAAGTCACAGTTTTTGCAGCCCTGCCCTCGCTTAGGGCGGGCATGGTCTTTCCAGGATTGCCGAGGGGGCTAATTCCTCGCACATTTGCACAAACAAACGAAAAAAACACGAAATCGGCCAAACAGATGTACTGTTCCGCTTACCAAGACAGGTTTTCTCTCCTGTTCCTTTTTGTTTCTTTTTTTTTTTTCGTTAAGCAAAAGTTATTGCAGCCATTTCTCCGTTTGTGTGTGTCATACTTGTGCAGGGGCCATGCTAATATGTTAACGGATGTCCTGAACGACAAGCTGTTGCAGCCGCTCACGGTCAGCTGTTCATTCTGTGCTTGGTGACCAACATCTGATTGATCTCTTTTTCATCAATCTGATGGATGACCTATGGGACCAGAGGTTGCAGACTTGGGGAGATCTGTTTCAATGGACCGAAAGGAACGGCCTTTTCCGTCAATGCCGCAGAACAGAAAAAAGGGAGGGGAGGGGGAGGAAGGACTTGTCATTTGAGAACACCAAGAGATGTGTGAGAAACCAATAATATCTAGGCAAATCTGCATATTGTTGAATCTTGCAGAAGCCGCTTATCTGTAATAAAGTAATAATTGAGTTTATTTTCTGGTCATTTCTGGGCAGAACATTATCAGCAGGCAGAAGGAGCTGCACCTGTGTATATGTGCTTGTGGGGGGGGGGGGAAGAGAGAGAGAGAGAGAGAGAGAGAGAGAGAGAGAG